TAAAATTTTAGCTAACCACTATTACCAAATTTTTGTCTGGACAAACTATTGTGATAAAATCAGTCATTCCAAACTTCCCCATAAACTAGAGATCTAGACCTTTGAGATTTATAAACTAGTTTAATACAAGTGGATTAGAATGCAAATAAAGAAATCAAGTAGATTGACAAAGAAGTATGTTAAATTAATACCAAACATAAGATATAACATCACCATATTAACAAGAGTAGTAGGAACTTAGCCTCTAAAAAATATTCAGCAGAACAAGAAGACTAAAGGAACAAATTCAACTAAATGATAGAGAAGAGCATAAACGAAAATGTTCAACAGAAATGCCATGAAGCATACTTGGAAACATGTCCCAAATTGCTTTAGAAACCACATGTTCGTGATCAAGTTAAGAAGAATGTCAATTATAATTAACCTAAGAAAGACTATCATGTTCCATAACTCAAAGGAAGAAACCACAAAATTGTTATGATAAGAATCAAAATAAACATTATGTTTCTGTGATGCCTACCAACAATTAAATGTCTAGTCTAGAACAACCACGAAATATAAATACCTAACAATTAAATGTCTAGTCTAGAACAACCACGAAATATAAATACCTTACATTGAATGTTGTAAATGAAAATATCCTAATCATCCGAACTTGTAGCAGTGGACAAAATCAGGCAACAAGTGTTTTAGTAGTAGTTGACTCGCTGAAACGAGGAAATAAACCAATCAATCAATCATCAGGGAATAACAAATGTAGGGAAACGAATTTCAAATAACAGTGGCATCAGGGTATCACAACTATACCCTGTTTGAGGCACCACACAAATCTTCACAATGTAAAGAGCATAGCATGCCCAATAGCAGTCTTTAAAAAGTGAGCAAAACAATTTAGGTTTTGAACTAAAGGAGAACTATTTTGATATCGTTTATTAGTGACAACTTTCTAATTCTAAGTACCAGTATCCTCCTGTTAGAAAAGATGGTACTCTTAAGCAACAGAGGATCAATTTCATTTTTAATAAAGAAAGTTTAACTTAAAGGATTTATAATGGTGGTTTTATGATTTGTGACTAATTATATTCTCGATCTTGATTTCATCCTAGTTCTTTTCCTCATCTTGATTTTCAGTTTTAAGACGCTTTTCAAACTAGACTGCACAAACCTTAACTATTATCATTGATTATGAGAGTTACTGCAGAGCTTTGTCACACAAATACAAAGATAATGCTATAAATATGAAGAATGTATGCATTTCTCCAAGTGTATAAGCTAGAGACCGAGTTCAAACATGGAATGCACACTAATGGCACTGAGTTCAAAAATCAACTTACTCTGGAATTGGTTTCTCTTCAAGTAGAAGTTTTATCACTTTAACTAAAGCGTGGTACGTTTCTTACTTGTAAGTTTTCTTGTGCAAAATAGGAAATCTTATTTTTTAAAAAAGTGAGTTTTACTTTAGACCGATGACAAAGGAAAATTTTAGGGACCTTTTGATAATTATTAAAGGATCATAGCCTTTTTTTTAAAAAAAAAACATACCTTTTCTTATAAATACTTTTGGAAAGAAAAACTAGTAAATGCTTCATACTTTATAAGTGTTTTTAGAACCTGTTAAAACATTTTTTTATTATCTAAGTTCTAACCATTTGGTTCTAAATTCATTTCAAAATAACCCTAAAGACCAACACAGCTTCTCAAAACAAAATTCAACCCTTCCTCACAAAAATACCATTTACGGCCAAAATAGAAAAAAACAAAGCAATATCCACAAAACCCACAATTTCAAAAGGCCATAAGGGATCGATAACTCTCCATAAGAGAGTGTTTTGTGGGCTATTTGGGTCATTAAATGTGTGAAAATGTGAGGATCCTTATGAATAAACCAAGGAAAATGTGAGAATTCGTTGGGTGGACCCCAAATTGTTATAATTCTTAAACTCCTTAATTATAATGATTTATGCTCAATTATTGATGGTTTACGTAGGAATGGTAGAATTTAGCTAAGGACAAGAAGAGTGCTGCCAAGGTCGTGGGGTTTATGCTGGAGCGTTGTTGAAAGAGGCGTGATTGTTGTAGCCTATAGTCTCCCGGAGCCCCCAGGGCGTATGACATTGCAGTAACTCGATGGGCTTAAATTGTTATCCTGTCCGTACAGCTTCCAAATGGTGCCCTAAATTTCCATGTTTGCTATGTGTTAGAATTTTAAAAACATATTTAATAGAAGTGTGATTAAATTTTTCATCTCACTAAATTTGTGTGGCCATCTTGTTTAGTGTGTTTCCTCACTTGAGGCTCAGAAGAGTCCTTGTCGAGTGGGTTTACTTCTATTAGCTATAGTTTCCTTTAGTTGAAGTAGGAAGGTGAATATCAGGGATGGGGTTGACCCTATTGCGAGGAAGGTGAATACTTAGGGATGGGGTTGACCTTATTGCATCGATAGACTGATTTAATTGCTTGCTTTAATCACGACAGGAGTTCGGTTAAGGCATGTGTTGGGTATCTCGGGAGAGAGCTGTGAATGTCTAGGCAACATATTTTATATAGCTAACATAGAGAAAAGCAGTAAGCGAAATTTTCCCTCCCTGATTTATCCCCAAACCGCTGCTTCATATCACTTATGTGTTTTCTGAGTGGATGCTCCAGAGTGTGATAGAGAAATTCATCTACTGTGTATTCCAAGTTGTTGTGTCTTGTTTCCTTTTATGCCGTTTAGATATAGTAAAACGAATCAAAACATCTTTTATTTTTAATCTTTGGTATTTCGAAATTATTAAATCAATTTATGACCTATTTCTTTGAAGAGACGACATTGTTTTTATACTACAACGGGTAAATTAGTGTATACTTGCACTATCTTTTCCTAGTTGTGAGGGAACCGAACAGGTTTTTGACGCCGTTGCCATGGAAATACATTTCAAATTTTGATTTTTTTTTTAAATTTTGAAGTACGGTGCTTAAAGAGTCCCTCAATTTTTGTTTCAAGTAATTTGTGTAGTGAATTAACGATTTCGCTACATTTGAATTCGCATTTGACCCATAACTAGAGCGTACATTAAGACAAAGAAGAGTTGAACAGTGGATACAGTGTAGGGGAGTGGCAATGAATCCTGACGCACATTAGCCTGAACGGGAATTGGAGAGGATAGAAGGGGTTAGGGCTGGGGCTGTTGTACCAGTACCCCCCTTGAATGTTGTTATGCTCGCATATGCACAAAGCAAGAAGTTAGAGCTTATGCGGCTCCAGCTTTCTATAACTTCAATCTGGTAACAGCAGATCCAATAAATGAAGCTGATAGATTTGAGATCAAGCCGACAATGTTTCAAATGCTCTAGACTGTGGGACCATTCCATGTATTGGCATAAGAAGATACTTATAGGTATTTGCGATATTTCATGCAAGTGGCAGATTCATTTAAAGTAGAAGGAGTCGGTAAGGAGACTATGCGCCTGAAGCTATTTCTTTACTCTTTGAGGGATATTGCTGGAGCACGGTTGTATTCCCTACCAGTTGAGTCGATCACCACATGGAATGATTTAGCAGAAAATTTTTTGATACAGTATTTCCCACCCTCTGAGAATGCAGAACTTCGGAGCAAAATTAACAATTTTTAATAGCTTCCCGGAGAATCTTTAAGCGAATCATGGGAAAGATTCAAGGAATTGCTTAAGAAGTGTCCTCACCATCGGATACCATGCTGTATACATATAGAAAATTATTGTAATGGACTGAATGAGGTCACTCAGCTGGTGATAGATGCCTCGGAAAATGGGGCTCTACTGTCAAAACCCTATGCGGAAGCTTTTGACATCCTAGAGAGAATTTCACGTAACAAGCACCAATGGTTGAAATATAGGGTTGATTTATTAACAAATTCATGGTTGGCTGATATAGTCATGAAAAGTGCAACTGAAAGTGAGGCTGGAGCCTCAAAAGCCACGGTGAATGCTGTGCAAAGTGCTCTCTGTCAATATTGTGAAGGCGAACACCAATTTGAGAATTATCCAGGCAATCCCGTATCAATGTTCTATTTTTATAATCCACAGCAGAATAGAAATAATGTGTATGGGAACACATATAACCCAAATTGGAGAAACCATCCTAACTTTAGTTGGGGAGGGAACCAATTGGGACACAACGTTGGAACAAGTAATGCTCAAGTATATCTATAGAAAATGTAGTATCCACCGGGTTTCTCAGGACAGAATCAACAATCCACTCAAAAGCCTCCAGAGACGTTGAGCTTGGAAGACATGTTCACGGCATACATGACGAAGAATGATGTTAATGTACAGAGCCAGGTCGCATTGCTGCAGAGTCAGGTAGCATCCTTGCGAAATATGGAAGTCCAGATTTACCAATTGGTGACAGAATTGAAAAACAGGCTAAGGGGAGCGCTTCCAAGCGACACCGAGGAGCGAAAAAGGGACGGCAAGGAGCAATGCAAGGCTTTAACACTGTGAAGCGACCGAGCTTTACCTCTAGCATATCAACAAGATGGAGGAAGTGAATGAGAGATAACCAGACCAGAAATCTTTGAGGAAAGAGAGCAAGCCACACAGTCCATGATTGAACAAACGATAATTTGAGAAAGAAATGCAGAACAGTTGAGAGATAAAAAGGCCGTGGAACACAAACTGTAGAATTTGAGGATCATGAGTCTGGGAATGATAGGAAAAATGGAGAGACGCCTAAGACAGACAAAGCTAGAGCATCATCGTCCAAACCAACTGACAAGCTGAAGCATCCGGGACAACCCACTGCTCCAGCAACCACAACAGAGTTGTTCCCATAGTACGCTACTCGAAAAGGTTGCAGAAAAAGAATCAAGATGGACAGGTACATCAATATCCCATTGGTGGAAGCCATAAAGCAGATGCACACACATACGAAGTTTTTAAAGGATGTTCTCACTAAGAAGTGCAGGCTAGGAGAGCTTGAAACCGCTTACTTAACCAAGGAGTGCAGTACAATTTTGACCAGTACAATACCATAGAAAATGAAGGATTCGGGAAGTTTCACAAGTCCAGTATCCATTGAAGGTCATAAGATTGATCAAGTACTATGCGACTTCGGAGCAAGCGTTAATCGAATGCCTTTGTCAGTGATTAAAAGGTTGGGCATGGGAGAAGTGAGGCCAACAATAGTCACCCTACAACTAGCCGATCGATCCATTGCAAATCCTGAAGAAAAAATCGAGGATGTATTGGTACAAGTAGATAAGTTTATATTTCTCACTGACTTTGTTTTACTTGATTTTGATGCAGATGAAGAAGTATCAATCATTATGGGAAGGCATTCTTATCTACAAGACGACCCTTGGTGGATGTGCATCAAGGAGAAGTCACTATGAGGGTGCAGGATCAAGAGATTAAATTTTCGATATATGACTCCATGAAATATCCCTCGGATGCTGAGGAGTGTGCTTTCTTACGAGTGCTAGATGAAGCTGTGATGGCAATGCTAAGTGTAGAGGTTATGCTGGAGCACCAGAACAACGAGTTGAACAGCATGATGGAACAAGCAGATGAAATTTGCCAAGAAATTCTCTAAGTAGTGGAAGGGAGTCAGCAAAATCATGGTCTAAAGTGCATGAGAGTTTGGAATTAGTGGAGTCTGGCCAAAAGTAGTTGAAACCATCTATCGAGGAACCACCTGAGCTAGAGCTGAAAGCCCTTCCGCAACATTCAAAGTATGCTTACCTCGGTACTTTTAATACATTACCTATCATCATTGCTGCAAATTTGTCTAAGGAAAAGGAAAACAAGTTGCTGGCAGTATTGAGGGAGCACTGAAGAGCCATAAGCTGGACAATTGCAGATATTAAGGGGATTAGTCCCCATTATTTCATGCATAAATTTGTCTTGGAAGAGAATTGCAAGAATTCAGTGGAACCACAACGAAGACTAAACCCAATAATGAAAGAAGTTGTGAAAAAGGAGATAATTAAGTGGCTAGACGCTGTAATTATATATCCGATCTCTGACAATGAATGGGTTAGTCTAGTACAATGTGTTCCAAAGAAAGGAGGAATGACAATGGTGGAGAATGCTAGAAATGGGCTCATTCCTACTTAGACAGTTACAAGCTAGAGGATATGTATGGACTACCGGAAGCTTAATAAAGCTACAAGAAAGGATCATTTTCCCTTGTCTTTCATTGACCAGATGTTAAGTAGATTATCTGGGCAGGAGTATTACTATTTCCTTGATGGGTACAGTGGCTGCAACTTTATAACTATCGCACCTCAAGACCAACACAAGACGACCTTTATCTGCCGATACGGAACCTTCGCTTTTAAAAGGACGCCATTCGGATTATGTAATGTTCTAGCCACATTCCAGCGCTGCATGATGGCCATCTTCTCGGATCTGATTGAGTCGGTGGTAAAAGTCTTCATGGATGACTTTTTCGATATTTGGGGCAAGCTTTGCTGACTGTTTATCAAATCTTCAACGGGTGCTGTAGTGTTGTGAAGAGACCAACCTAGTGCTCAATTCGGAAAAATGTCATTTCATGGAAGAAGAGGGTATAGTGCTGGGGCACCAGGTTTCCTGAAAAGGCTTGGAAGTGGATAAAGCTAAAGTAGAAGTCATTGAACAGCTGTCACCGCCCACAAATGTCAAGGGAGTCCGAAGCTTCCTAGGCCATGCGGGGGTTCTATCGACGGTTTATAAAGGATTTTTCTAAACTTGCAAAACCTTTATGTTCTCTACTAGAAAATGATAAAGTATAAGACTTTTCTACTGAATGTTTACAAGCATTTCCCACACTAAAGTATGCACTCACCCATGCCCCAATCATTCAAACTCCTGACTGACAGGTTCCATTTGAGCTAATGTGCAATGCCAGCGACTTCGCGGTAGAAGCAATGTTGACGTAAAAGAAAGACAAATTATTACACCCGATATATTACACCGAAAGACACTGATAGAGGCTCAAATTCATTATACTGCTACATAAAAGGAGTTACTTACAGTAGTATTTGCGTTTGAAAAATTTAGAGCCTACATGATGGGAGCAAAAGTGATAGTCCACACTGATCACACCACATTGAAATATATGTTGACTAAGAAAGATGCCAAACCGAGACTTATTAGATGGATTTTATTACTGCAAGAATTTGATGTGGAAATTAGAGACAAGAAGGGTTATAAGAAATTTGGTAGCTAACCATTTGTCTAGAATTGCTGGAGCAAAAGAAGAACCAGAAGTTGTGGCAATCAGAGACAGTTTCCCAGTAGAGCAGTTGCTTGCCATGTCCCATAAAGGTGCGAAAGAGGAAGAACCCTGGTTTTTTGATATTGCAAATTTCTTAACATATGCGATACACTCAGAAGGATGGACAAAGCAGCAGTTAAAGCGTTTTTTCTATGAATGTAGATTCTACTATTGGGATTACCCCTTTCTTTATAGACTGGGGCAGGACAATATAATTCGAAAATGTGAAACAGAGGCTGAAGTAACCCAGATCTTGAAGAACTATCATGCTACCCCTTATGGAGGACATTTCCATCGGCAAAGGACAGCCGACAAAATGCTGCAGAGTGGATACTTATGGCCCCTGATTTTCAAGGATGCTCATGAACTGGTCAAGAGTTGCAATGAGTGTCAGCAAGTTGGGAATATCTCCAAGAAATCATAAATGCCATTAACTTATATTTTGGAAGTGGATTTGTTTGACGTGTGGGGTATGGATTTTATGGGTCAATTTCCTCCGTCTAATAGTAATTTATTTATCCTAGTGGTAGTGGACTATGTGTCCAAATGGGGTGAAGCAATCTCTTGCCCCACGAGTGACGTTAAAGTGGTGACTAAGTTCCTCTTGAAAAACATTTTCACCTGGTTCGGTACACTAAGAGCAATTATAAGTGATGAAGGATCACACTTTGTGAACAGAGCGGTGTCAAGATTGCTAGCCAAGTATAACATCAAGCATAGAATTGGTACAGCCTACCATCCACAATCTAATGGCCAAGCAGAAATTTCAAACAGAGAAATCAAGAGAATCCTGGAGAAGGTGGTAAGTGTCAGTAGAAAGGATTGGGCCTTCAAACTAGATGATGCACTATGGGTATATAGGACTACATTTAAGATACCATTGGAAACATCTCTATACAAGCTCGTATTTGGGAAAGCCTGTCACCTGCCGTTGGAATTTGAGCACAAAGCCTTATAAGCTATGAAAAAGCTGATTTTCAATTATGCAACAGGGGAAGTTCGGAAGCTACAACTTCTTGAGCTAGAAGAATTCTGGAGAGATGCATATGAGAATGCCAAGATCTACAAGGAGAAAACAAAAAAATGGCACGATGCTCACATACACCCTAGGAAATTTGAAGTGGGGCAACAAGTTCTTCTCTACAATTCAAGGCTTAAGCTATTTCCCGGGAAGCTAAAGTTTCAGTGGTCAGGGCCATTTCAAATAGTGAAGGTTTACCCTCATGGAGTAATAACAGTTGAGGAATTAAAACCTCATAGAGGATTTATGTGAACGGATAGCATTTAAAGTACTACTGGGGAGAAAATTTGGAGAGGGATGCTGGAGCACACCAGCTGGTCCCTACGTAAAATGAAGTCAAGAAGTATCAAAAAATAAAGGAGCTAATTTTTAAATTCATATATTTTAAAAGCTCCCCTTATTTTAATTTAATTTACATTTATAAGAAAGTAGATCTAATTTCTGTAAAGCTGATTTGATTTTAATGGCAGGTTGTTGAAGGTTTAAGGAGTATTTAATTTGCAAAGGAAGAGAGAGAGAAGTCTTAATAGTAGCAGGCGGGTGACAATAAATCAAAGACAGCTTGTGGGCGGATTTTCTCCCAATTCATCTTCTTCCCGCCTCTGAAATCACTCAACCAGACCCTCTTCCTGCTGCTTTAAATTTCCATCTGTCTCCTCTTCACCTAGGCCAAAATGCCCCGCTACAAGACCAAGGCGAATCGAAAGAACCCCCTGTTCGATAGCTCTTCAGAGGACTTCGCCGATACTAATGATCAGTCAGTAGCAGCGGCGGTCCGTGAAATTTCAATAGCTTCTCCGACCAAGCCCCCTACTGTGTCTACATCGCTTCCGGCCCCTACTTCAGATTCGGAGCAGCAGCCCGACAGTCAAATAGAGGATGAGGAGGTTCCGACCAACCCCACTTTTACATCTACCACTTCCCTTCCACCGTCCGTTTCTGACCCCATTCTTCCCCCACCAACCTCAAACACTCCACCTTCTGCCTTCCCTGTACCTACTCTCAACATCACTGACCCACTCCTCCGCTCATCCCTAAAACAACCCAGAGCCTTCAATCACTTTTCCCCTTCTGGTCCAGCCTCCCGTACACGAACTGCTAAATGACCCATTCTTACCCTCATGGGTTAGTCCAAAATTGTAAATACCATTTCCTCAACTAAGAGGAAGCGACGACCCTCTATTTCGCCTGTACAGGTCAAAGCTCAGCAGCTTCCACCCGGTCGCAAGAAAGTCAACGTTGTCGTGCCTCAGTATGCTACCTTCCAGCGGTTGCATTCCCATGAAGCGGTTGACGCCTATGAGTTGTTGTGCAAGAGGGACTTTTTCTTCGAGAAAGGCTTCCAATTGGATCCAATGCCCCCATTCATCAAGGATGTTATTGACAGGAACCGCTAGGAATACTTATGTGCTTTGCCAGTGCCCTTACTCCCTTGGCTGGCGAAGGAATTTTACAGCAACCTACGAGCTGACAGCATCGACAAAATAATGGTGAGGGAGGTGGAAGTCGATTGGAGTCCGGAGCAAATCAACAATGCACTCCATCTGCCCTCCAATCCCATTGTTAAATTCAACCAAATGCTGGAGTAGCCCACTAATGCTCAATTTGCTTATGCCCTTACCATTGTTGCTCACCCTGAAGCATCCTGGAGCATTGCCCTTAAAGGAGCCAGTTCCCTTCCCTACAACTTTGTCATGTCAGAAGCCAATATGTGGCTCTATTTCCTCAAATGTCGAATCCTACCAACTATGCATGATTATTCCGTGATGAAGGAAAGAGTTATCCTCCTAGCCTGTTTAATGGAGGGCATGAGCATCAACATCGACCAACTCATCCACTACGAAATCGCCTAGTGCGCCACCAAAAAGCTAGGACGTCTCTTTTTACCCAACTTCATTTCTAAGATGTGCATGAAGAGCGGCGTCCTAGTTGTCCAAGATAAGGAGGTCTTAAATAATGTGCATAAGATGTACATTAAAACTATAGGTTATACGAGAGAAATGTTTTAGAATATGATTCTATTTTTATAATAAATAATTAAGTGTTAATTATTTATGTATATATATATATATTTATTAATTATTAATTGGATTAATAATTAATTATATTAATTAATTTAATTAATTTAATTAATTAGTTATATATATATATTAATTATTATATATATATATATTAATATTAATATTATTATTATTATTAATATTAACTCCCCTGTAAAATTGCAGGGGAGTGGGAGGTGTTGTGACGTGGGGAGTTACCCCACGTCACCCTTCTTCTTCTCCAAGTGTTGGAGAAGGTGAAGAACAGTTGT